GACGACGACGGACAAACAAAAGACAAGACAGGCTGGAACAGAAAAAGTAGGCTGGGCGACAACGGGTGGGGGCCCGCGTGGCCGAGAGAAAAGCACGTTGTCGACACCATGATGTGGCCAGGGCAGCAGACTACCTCGACAGACCAGCGCGGCAGGCCACCATTTAGTCTGTTCAGTTGCGTTTATGGGTTTCTCTGACGTTCTCGCCAATACGGTCTCTGACGCACGTGGTGGATAAAAAACGGCGCTTCCCGTTCTTGTCCGGTCAGGTTCCCCAAAATGGTCTGGCGTGCTCCTGTATGGTCTGCCGTGCTCTTGTGTGGTTTGCCGTGCTCCTGTGTGGTCTGCCGTGCTCCCGTGGGGTCTGCCGTGTCCTGTGTGGTCTGCCGTGCTCCTGTGTGGTCTGCCGTGGTCCGGAAAATTGGCCGTTTCGCTCGGGACGTCCTCAAAAAATCGGCTCCGGAGGGGACTCCGAAGCAGCATTATCTTGGAATCGCTCCCGGAGGGCCTCCAAACGGCCCAAGAAAGCCCCCGAAGGCCCCCCAGAGGACCCCCAGAGCGCCCCAAGAGACCCCCAAGAGGCCCCCAAGGGGCGGCCCGAGGCCCGCCAGAGCGCCCAAAACGCCCCAAGAGACCCCCAAGAAGCCCCCCAGGGGCTCCAAAGAGGCGGCCAGAAGTCCCCCAGAACGCGCGAAAAGGCTCCAGGAGTTCCCTGAGAGCTTCATATCGCCCCAGAGAGCCCCCGAAGGCCCCCCCCGGGACTCCCCCAAGAGGCCCCCGAGAGGCCAGAGGCTACGACAGCCCCAAGAGCGTCCAAGATACCTCCAAGACGGCGCCGAAGCCAGGAAACGCAACAGGGATGTTCTCTGACGTTCTCGCCAATACGGTCTCTGACGCACGTGGTGGATAAAAAACTGCGCTTCCCGTTTTTGTCCGGTCAGGTTTTTCGTTGGCGGATTCCCCAAAATGGCCATTTCGCTCGAGACATCCTCCAAAAATCGAGGTTGTGGTCTGCCCGTGCTCCTGTGGTGGTCTGCCGTGCTCCTGTGGTTCTGCCGTGCTCACCCCACAGGAGCCGGCGACCGCAGACCGCGGCAGACCAATACGAGGACGCAACGGCTTGTTTTCTTGACATGAAAGCAAACTGGATACCCAGAATGCGCCTCAAACGACGGAAAGGATGACCAAGACGAGGAGCAACGGCAGACGCAATACTAGGAGCAGCGGCAAGACTATGACCCAAGAGTGCCCTCACGACGGCCGAACAACTCAGTCAAACAAACAATGAGTCCTAACGTCCCGTCGTGGAAACATTTCTGAGGGTCATCAGTTATGCAACCGGCCTCCCATAAAGCAGTAATGTCCTGTGTGGGTTCTGTGCCGTGGCTCCTGTGTGGTCTGCCGTGCTCCTGTGTGGTCTGCCGTGCTCCTTCTTGGTCTGCCGTGCTCATGTGCGGTCTGCCGTGCTCCTGTGCGGTCTGCAGTGCGAACGTGTGGACTGCCGTGCTCATTTGGGGTCTGCCTTGCTCCTTTGTGGTTTGCCGCGCTCCTGTGTGGTCTGCCGTGCTCTTGTGTGGTCAGCCGTGCTCCTGAGGCGTCTACGGTGCTCCTTTGGGGTCTGCCGTACTCATTTGGGGTCTGCCGTGCTCTTTTGGTCGGCCGTGCTCATTTGGGGTCTGCCGCGCGCCTGTGAGATCTGCCGTGCTCCTGTTGGGGAAACGCCAGCGGCGTTCGGGGTACAACAAAAAGGCGCGTTTATGTTGTACCCGCGCGCGGTCTGCCGTGCTCCTGTGGGTTCCGCCGTGCTCCTGTGGCGTCTGCCGTGCTCCTGTGGCGTCTGCCGGGCTCCTGTGTGGTCTGCCGTGCTCCTTTGTGGTCTGCCGTGCTCCTGTGGAGTCTGCCGTGCTCCTGTGTGGTCTGCCGTGCTCTTGTGGTCTGCCGTGCTCATTTGGGATTTGCCGTGCTCATGTGGGGTCTGCCGTGCTCCTGTGTGGTCTGCCGTGCTCCTGGCGTTTGCCGTGCTCCTGTGGAGTCTGCTGTGCGAGCGTGTGGTCTGCCGTGCTCCTGTGGGGGTCTGCCGTGCTCCTGTGGTCTGCCGTGTTCATTTGGGGTCTGCCGTGCTCGTGTGTAGTCTGCCGTGCTCCTGTGGGGTCTGCCGTGTTCCTGTGTGGTCTGCCGTGTTCCTGTGTGGTCTGCCGTGTTCCTGTGTGGCCGTTTCGCTCGGGACGTCCTCAAAAAATCGGCTCCGGAGGGGACTCCGAAGCAGCATTATCTTGGAATCGCTCCCGGAGGGCCTCCAAACGGCCCAAGAAAGCCCCCGAAGGCCCCCCAGAGGACCCCCAGAGCGCCCCAAGAGACCCCCAAGAGGCCCCCAAGGGGCGGCCAGAGGCCCGCCAGAGCGCCCAAAACGCCCCAAGAGACCCCCAAGAAGCCCCCCAGGGGCTCCAAAGAGGCGGCCAGAAGTCCCCCAGAACGCGCGAAAAGGCTCCAGGAGTTCCCTGAGAGCTTCATATCGCCCCATAGAGCCCCCGAAGGCCCCCCCCGGGACTCCCCCAAGAGGCCCCCGAGAGGCCAGAGGCTACGACAGCCCCAAGAGCGTCCAAGATACCTCCAAGACGGCGCCGAAGCCAGGAAACGCAACAGGGATGTTCTCTGACGTTCTCGCCAATACGGTCTCTGACGCACGTGGTGGATAAAAAACTGCGCTTCCCGTTCTTGTCCGGTCAGGTTCCTCGGGATGGCGATTTCGCGTGAGACATCCTCACACAAATGAGATCTTCGCGACATCGCGTTTAACAAAAACAAGCGTTTCGCTCGAGACATCTTCGAAAAGTTGATGAATGCGAAATTTCGCCGTCTGTGAAAATTTGTGTTTCGCTTGGGACATCCTCGGACAAATAAAATGACGACTGAAGTCTTCAACTAACTCTTATGTTAAGAATTGTGATTTCGCTCGGGACATCCTCAAAACACGAGCGGCAGCACGGCGGACCAGAACGAAGAGCACGGCAGAAAAGTTGCATTTCGCTAGGGACATCCTCAACAAAATGAGATGTCCTCAACGACGTCTTGATATCGTTCTCGAAGTACCTCAAGATGACGAACTGAGAGGCCAAAAAGCACGTCACGATGGCTGTCAGAACGATTGGGGGACTTCCGAAAATAGCGATTTCGCTAGGGACATCCTCAAAGAGTGAAAACATACACCAGCATCTACTTGAAAACTGTTGTTCTTACATAGTTTTGATTTTGCTTCTGAAAAGGCTTCCAGACGGTCCAAGGCAGCCTTCAAAACATGTCGATTTCGGTAGGGACATCCTCAAAAAAATGATGCGTGCGACATCGCATCGTAATGACTTTAGGAGGGCATCAGGAAGCAAAAGAAGGCCACAACATGGCTCCAAGAGCGCCCTTAAGGTTGCTGAAAATAATGATTTCGCTAGGGGCATCTTCAAACAAATAACAAATCGAACACCATCGTTTTGAAAACTGCTGTTTTAACATCGTCCGGGGATCGCTCCTGAAAAGGCTTCTAGATGGTTTAAGCCAGTCATCTAAAAATGACGATTTCGCTAGGGACATCCTGAAACAATGAATGTGTGCAACATCGGACTGTAACACGGTTTTGTAAGGTATCAAGAAGGCCCCCAAAGGCCCCAAACAAGCCCAAATTTGACCCCCAGGAGCGCCCTCGAGACGATCCAAAATGGCGATTTCGCCTGAGACATCCTTACACAAATGAAATGTTCACAACGTCGATTTCATCAAAAATGAGCGTTTCGCCTGAGACCTCCCTTAAACATGGGAAGCCACGAATTCGACAGATGTTCAAAAACGGGTGTCTCGCCTGAGACATGTTGACAACAATGATATCTTGGAGTGGCGTGTTTACTACCTCTCGTGTTAAAAATCGCGCTCTCACTGCATACATCCTCAAAACAATCGGGCGGAGCATGGCCGGCGAAAAAAGAGCAAGGCAGATAATGAGCAGTTCTGCCGTGCTCCTTCGCTCTTGACGTCTATTCTGCCGTGCTCTTTCGTTCCTGGGGTCTATCCTGAAATGCTCCTTGTTTTTTTTGTGCCGTGCTCCTTCGCTCTTCGGGCCTATTCTGCCATGCTCCTGGCCATTTTCTGTCACAATCCTTTGTTCTTGGGGCTTATGATGCCGTGCTCCTGGTCGTTTTCTGCCGTGCTCCTTAGCTCTTGGGGCATATTCTGCCGTGCTCCTTCGATTTCGGGGTTTATTCTGCCGTGCTCCTTGTCTTCTTCTTGCATACTCCTTCCTTGGGGCGTATTATGCCGTATTCTTGCATCTATCTTGCCGTGCTCCTTAGCTCTTGCGGTCTATTCTGCCATGCTCCTGGTTACTGGTCGCGTTTTGCAATGTTCCTTCTTTCCTAGCGCCTATTCTGCCGTGCTCCTCAGCTCTTGGGGTCTATTCTGTCGTGCTCCGGTTCTTTTTCCTATCATGCTCCTTCGCTCCTGGGGCCTCATTTGCCGTGTTCCTTCGGTCTTGGGGTCTATTCTGCCGTGCGTTTTGTCTTGTTTTGCCGTGGCCCTTTGCGATTGAGGTTCGTACTCCTAGTTATTTTTGCCGTGCTCTTTAGCTCTTGGAATTGATTTTGCCGAACATAGAGGGGCACGACAGAACACGCAAGAACATTGCAAAACAGACAGAACACACGGGAACACGGCAAAACACACAGGAGCACGGCAGCACACGCAGGAGCATGGCAGAACAAGTAGGAGCATCGCAGAACACACAAGCGCGCGGCAGAATGCACAGGAGCACGACAGTACACACAGGAACACGGCAGACCACGCAGGAACACGGCAGAACACGCAGGAACATTCCGTAACCATTTTGGCTCAAGCGATTTTGGTCAAGGCCATGGAGCACCCGACGACCGCAAGTCGTCCGCGGCGTTCCGAGCGCGAGGGTCCCCTCGCATTGGGCCAGTGCAATTCTTTGTTGTGCTCCCTGCTTTCGCGGCGCGGAGGCGCGAACTGCCAGCCAGCGTGGCCTGGGCCATGGCGCGCTCCTCGCGGGGTGGCGGCAGCGGCAGCAGGCGCAGCAGGACGTACTGGATGTGCAGCTGCGGTGGGTGGAACTGGGACTGGCGCACCACATGCCTTGGCTGTGGGTACGCGGCCCCGCCATGGGCGCGGGAAGCGGCAGCAGCCAAGACCAAGCCCCAGGCGGATAAGGACGGCTGGGTGGATCAGCCGCGCGGGCGCCGTGCCCAGCGGCAGGCCCGCAGTGCTGCAACGAGTGCGGCAACCTCCAAGTCGCAGACCTCGGCGCCGGGCGCCAGTGGGGCGCCCAGCGGCAGCGGCGCCACGGCGATCGAGAGGCTGCAAGTCGCGGTCGAGCAGCTGGAGGCGCTGCAGGCGGAACCGCCCGACGGGGCCGATTGCTGCTTCACCGATGTCGTCGCCAGCCAGTTGGAGGCCAAGCGCGCCGAGCTGGCAGAGGCCCAGCGGGCGGCAGCAGAGCAGAAGGCGTCCTCCATGCCGCTGTCGGCGATGCTCCATAAGGAGGCGAACGCCATCAGCAAGGCGGAGAAGCGCCTCCGAGCAGCGCGCCAGAGCCTGGAGCAGAAGCAAGAGGCGCGTGGCCTCGTCGAGGCCCAGCTGCAGAAGGCCGAGGAGGAGCTGGAGCAGCTCGACGCGGAGGTGGAGGAGGCCAGCCGTGCGCTCCACGCCCTTGAAGAGGAGGCCCGAGTGGAAGCCGCTGCGCAACTGCACCAGCGCGCGGCCGAGAGGGCAGGGGCCAGCCAGGTCCCCAGGGCTGCTCATGCAGCTGGACAAGCTGCCCGAGGCGTGGGGCTCCAGCAACTTCGAGGTGGCGCGGGCGGCCATTCGCTCCCAGGTGGAGGCGGTGCGTGCGCAGCTCGCCGAGGCCCCTGCCGTCCCGAGGAGAGTGCCCTGGGCGGAGTCGTGCCCAATGGACGAGATCAGCAGCGAGGACGACGACCACGCAGGAGGCTGCAGGCCTTGGCAGCCGCAGTGCGCCGCGGAGCGTGGCCAGGCCGAACGACGCGGCGACGCCCGCGGCGAGTGGCCGAAGGTCGCCCAGGCTTGCAAGCGGGAGCCGGCGGCCGAGGCTGAGGACCTGGCCCCTCTTGCAGCTCGCACTGCTGGCCGCGCAGCTGGGGGCCGCGGCGGAGGCGAGAGGCCACGGCAGTAGTGCGTGTTGCCACGCCAGAGGCGCTCAGCCTAGGCAGCAGGAGGGCGGCGGCACCGACGCTGCCCGCATCGGCGGCAAGCGGCCCCTCGACCTCGGGAGTGCGCGGCCCCTCGACCGGCGCCAGGCCTAGCTGCGTCGACAGCTCAGAATGTTCGCAGCGGGCTGGGGAAGCTCGGGTGCAACGGCAACGCTCGGAGGAGGGGCCTGGAGGCGATCAAGGCCTTGGACTCCCGCAACAGGGGCCCGCTGCACCTTGTGATGCTCCAGGAGCCCTACCTGGCACAGCGCCGCCTTGAGGAGGCCAGGGGGGCAGCGCGGCGCATGGGATATACGGAGTTCCTCCACGCGTCGGCGCCGACGGACAAGAAGGGCCCGCGGGCGACCTCAGGCGGCGCAGCGGCCTCGAGGCATTGCTCGATTGGAGTCACAGTGTCCGCTGCCTCAGGCCTGCCGCTGCGAGCGTGCTCGCTGTGCCTCCAGGGCGCCCTGGGACCCGACATCCACGCCATTTTCGGCGACACGGTGCTCTTCTAGAGGCCTCGGCTCATCTCCGTCGTGGGCCTGGCCGCCGCGTCTTTCAGCACCGACGTGACAGGTTGGGCGGGGTGCGCGTGTGCCTCCACTGGGGCCAAGCTGCCTGCGCTGGCAGCCCTCCGCGCCGTCCCAGCGGGCGCCTGGCCACCGGTTGTCGCTCGCAACGTCGTCGGTGACTTCGCGCTGCAGGCCGCGGGCGCGGAGCAGCTGGTGGCCGCGCGGCTCGGCGCCGCCTCCGTGTGCAGCACCTGCCCCTCGGCTCTGCCAAGACGGCCTCCCTCGCCTCGAGCCCCGGCCTTGGGCGCCAGATCGCGGCGCGCTGGTAGCTGCATGGCTGGACCTTACGCAAGACCATGCAGACCAGGAACCTCGACGCGGACGCCGCCGACGCGAGGGGAGGAGTACATGAGGGCCGAGTCCGAGCTGCAGGCGCGCCTCGCCGAGTGCGCAGGCTGGACCCGATCCACATGGCGGGGCCCACGGCCAGCATGGCGTGCAGTCGCACAGGCACGGGCAACGCGGACGGCAAGCTACGCAGATGGAGGCTTGCAGCCTGCCGCAGCGCAGGGGCGCCCCCCATGGGCGCGGGGCGAGTGCTGTGCATGCGCGGTGCCGAGCTCAGGAGGAGGCAAGCCCAAGATCCTGCTGCCCTCACGGCAGGCCACGCAGTCCTGATAATGGCGGGCCTGATGCAGACAGGCATGCTGCTGCACAGGCTGATGAAGCGGGGGCTGGAGGCGGCGGCGACCAGGCGTGCAAGTGTTGGCACGCCATGGAAGCACTGTACCTCCCCCTTCGGCGCGGTGGTGCCGACCCGTGCGCGGATCGGCTGGCGCTTCAAGTCCGAGCGGCGCAAGGTCACGGACCCTGGCGTCGAGCTAGACCTCATGCACCTTGGCGCTTGGCGTGCATCCGTTCGTCACGAGATGCGGAAGCTCAGCCGCGGCACCTGCCTGCAGCGACCACTGCAATGGGACGCCATCGGATGCCTGCTCAGGCCAGACGGCAGGCCCAGAGTGAGGGAGCAGAACGCCCTCGGGGCCTACATCTCCAACGCGCACTGGAGGCAGGCCAGGCTCCTTGATGTGCTGGAGGCCCAGCGGCGCGGCAGAGTGTCGGCACGGCTGAAGCAGTGTGCGGAACGTGCGCGGGCCCTAGGTGACCACGCAGGCGACGACTTCGGCCGCTGCTGGCTGCCCGCGCCAGAGCCACCGCAGAGTCACCACACCGACGCCATGTGGGTGCGATGGGCTTGCAGGCCAGCCGTCGATAAGTTCGACGGCAAGCTGTCCCAGTCCGGAGCCGTGCGCTGTGAGGGCTGGGCCATAGCGCAGTGTGACGACGACGGCAACCTGGGGACAGGGCTCTACGGCACCGTCTGGTGCTACCGCTGCCCGCAGCAGACGGCCAAGGACGGCGAGGACCTTGCTGCCTGGATGCTCGCGACCTTGGAGGGGCCTGCAGTGGAGGAAGTCAACATCGACTGCAGCTCCGCAGAGTCCTGCCTGCGGAGAGGGCGCGCGGACGCCGCCGCGCCCAGCAGGGCGAACGCCCACCTTTGGCGCGGGATCCTGGCAGCCTTCGAGCCAGGTGCGTTCGAGGTGAACAAGGTGCAAGGCCCCTGGCTGAGGCAGGCAGTGCTCGGCGGGCTCCTGACGGAGGCCCAGAGGCACGGCGTCGAGCACGCCGACCGCCTCGCCGAGATGGGCGTCCAGACGCATGCAGTGAACAGGTGGGCGTTTGGCGTGCACCATGCGCTGGCGGAGATCATGCAGGAGCTCGGGCGCGGGGCCTGGTGGGCCGCCATCGTCGGGCAAGGCATCGAGGCCAGGGATCGCGAAGAGCTCCCTCCTGCGGCTGAGCGGCGCCACGTACGCTGCGCCGACGCCGAGGAGGAGTCCCAGGCAGCGGAGGATACCACGGGCGAGGAGCCGAAGGCCGAGCGGCCACGCCTGGAGAGCGCCCGCTCGACAGGCAGCAGCTCGGCAGCCCTCTCGGCCAGTGCAGTTGCCTTCAGCGCACTGGGACATGCCTTGTCCTATGCCTGCGCTGGAGAAGGGGAGGACACCCAGGAGCTCGTGGCATGCTCCAAGTGCGGCGCCTACACGACGCTGGGCGGCCGCTCGGGGGTCAGGCCTCGCCTCAAAGAGCGGTGCCCAGGCGACAAGACCGACGAGGGCGGCAGGAACCAGCGCAGCCTGTGGCGACGAGGACTCCACCCTGGAGGCAAGAGGCAGGAGGTGTCACGGGCTGCCAGACACAGAGTGAACGGAGGGGGCATCCCAGCATTGCGCTCGCAGGGTCCAGTGCCTGAGCACGCGCAGGAGCGGCGCAGCTCGCCGCCGCGGCCGGCCCTGCAGGCGGCGCCCAGGAGGACCGCAGGGTGCGCCGCCGCGTGGCGCGCCGTGGCGGCCCGACCGTGAGTGAGTAAAGGATTGCATCGCTGTGGCTAGCGACAGCTGCTCCATTTGGGAGCAGAGCAGGCTTCCGTCGCCCTCGGTGCCTTGTGGGACTCGGCGTCTCTCGGGAACGCGGGTCCCGTCTGGCCCTGTCCGTGTGTTTCTTGTCACCTTTGCCTCGAAGGCCCCGTCTTTAATTTTAACATTAACACAGGAACATTGCATATGTCGTTTCACATGCTTGGTGGACGAAGCGACTCTTCTCAAGGAACGAGTTGGAATAAAACTCGGGAGATCGTCCTAGATGGTCTATTATGCCGTGCTCCTGGTTATTTTCTATCCTGTTCCTTCGCTCCTGGGGGCTATTCTGCCATGCTCCTTCGCTCTTGGGGCTATTATGCCGTGCTCTTTGTCTTCTTCTGCCATGGTCCTTTGCTCTTGGGTTCCGTATTCCTGGTCCTTCTCTGCCGTGCTCTTTAGCCCTGGGGGGTGATTCTGGCGAACACAGAGGGGCACGGCAGAACACGCAGGAGCACGGCAAAACAGACAGAGCACACAGGAACACCGCAGAACACACATGAGCACGACAGCACACGCAGGAGCGCTGGGGACATCCTCAACAAATGAGATGTTCGTAACATCGCCTCGATATCGTTTTCGAAGTGCTTCAAAACGAAGAGATGAGAGCCCCCAAAGGAGCCCAAGGTGGCTCCAACAGCGCCCTGGAGTCTGTCGAAAATGACGAGTTATCTAGTCTTTCTGCCATGTTCCTGGTCTTCGTCTGGTTTGCTCCGTCGCTCTTGGGGCCTATTCTGCCGTGCTTCTTAGCTCTTGGGGTCTATTATACCGTGCTCCTGGTCTTTTTCTGCCGTGTTCCTTCGCTCTTGGGGTTTATTATGGTCATTTTCTGCCGTTTTCCTTGGCTTTTAGGGGTGTTTTCTGCTGTGCTCCTGGCCTTTCTCTGCCGTGCTCCTTCGCACTTGGGGCATATTCATCCCTGCTCTTTAGCTCCTGGGGTCTATTCTGCCGTGCTCCTTGTTTTTTTCTTCCGTGCTCCTTAGCTCTTGGGGCCTATTCTGCCGTGATCCTGTTTTTTTTCTGCCTGCTCCTTTCTGCTTTTGGGGTCTATTCTGCCGTACTCTTTTGCTCTTGGGGTCTATTCTGCCGTTTTCCTGGTCTTTTTCTGCCGTGCTCCTTCGCTTTTGGGGTCTATTCTGCCGTACTCCTTTGCTCTTGGGGTCAATTCTGCTGTGCTCCTGGTCTGTTTCTGCCGTGCTCCTTCGCTCTTCGGGCCTATTCTGCCGTGCTTCTGGTCTTTTTCTGCCGTGCGCGCCCAGAAGCTCCGCCAAAACGACCACCGCGACGATCCGCACGGCAGAATACAGGAGCACGGCAGAAAACACAGAGCACACAGAGGCACAGCAGAACACAAGCACGGCAGAACAGGAGCACGGCAGAACACACAGGAACACAGCAAAACACACCCCGCACGCACGCCGACACGCGCGCCACGGCATACCTTCGCGGCGTAACAACAACAGAGCATATTCCACATGCTTGGTGGACTGAAGCGACGCTTCCCGTTCTTGTCCGGCCAGGTTTCAAAAAAGCCCGTTTCGCTCGAGACATCCTCGAAACATCGGCTCCGGAGGGGACTCCGAACCAGCATTATCCTGGAGTCCCTCCCGGAAGGCCTCAGAACGGCCCAAGAGAGCCCCCAAAGGCCCCTCAGGGGACCCCCAAAACGGCCCAAGAGACCCCCAAGAGGCGCTCAGAGGCCCCCAAGAGGCGCCCAGAGGCCCCCCCGAGCGCGCGAAGAGGCCTCTGGACTGGCCAAGAGAGCCCCAAGACGGTCCAAGATATCGCCAAGAGAGCCCCCACAGACCCTCGAGAGACGCCTGGACAGTCCAAGAGGGTCACAGAAGCCTCCAAGAGGCTCCCAAAATGCTCTCCACGGGCCCCAATCAGGCCACCAGAGACCCACGACAGTCCAAGATAACGCCAGGCCAGCCCAAGAGACCCCCACAGACCCTCGAGAGACGCCTGGACAGTCCAAAAGGGTCACGGAAGCCTCCAAGAGGCTCCCAAAATGCTCCCCACGAGCCCCAATCAGGCCCCCACGCGGGCCCCAAAGAACCATTCACAGCTCACGAGGTCCGTCATGTGCACAGGACGGCAGACTACCTCGACAGACCAGCGAGGCAGACCAGCACGGCAGAGTTCTACCTCGAAGTTGAGCGGGGGACCAGCACAATGACCCGATAGCGCGTGTGTTGGTCCGATTTGACTACAGCGGCGCTTCCCGTTCTTGTCCGATCAGGTTTCGATGGGTTCCGAGTCCGGTTCGATTCCATTTGGGATTCCGATTTGGGCTCCAGTTTTTCAACGGAGGCCTACCAGCCTGCCGCTTTCCGCCGCTTCAATCTTTTTCGACTCGGCTGCCGATTTCCGCCGATCCGATCGCCGATCTGACTTATCGATTCGATTCTGGGCTCTTCTGGAGACCCATGCCAAGTATCCAACCCCCTGCTTGCCTCCAGGGGCCCTGGGGTTCGTAGGCATTTCGATGGTTCTGCGGTGGAAAGCGTGACGTCCCCACACCAAAATTCACTGGACGTCCAGGCCCTGGCCCCCAATGGGCTCCCCCGGCCCCCCCCCCCCCCGAGAGGGGCAGGTGGCGCCCAGAGGATCTCGGCCGCCCAGGTGTGGTCGAAGTGCAGTGGAAGCCCATGCCGAGGGCCCTGACCCTGACCTTCAGGAGTGCTTGAAGATAGCACCAGGGCCTTGACGTCCGGATTCCTTTCGAGGTTTTAGGCAGTCCAGGTAGGTATATATGTCTGGAGGGCTATTTCTATGCACTCTGGAAGGCCAGGGGAGGGGGGGAGGTGGCGCCCAGAGGCTCTGCGCCTCCCAGACGTAGACGAAGCAACTCGGAGAAGAAAACACGCCATAAACATAAACTTTTCGGGCTCCGCGCGGATTTCTTGGATCCGCGCTGGGCCCCCCCGGCAGCGCCTCCAGCGCCGCCTTTGGAGGGGGTCCAGCGCAGATCCAAGAAATCCGCGCAGACCGTCGAAAATGTATGTTTATGCAGTTGCTTCTTCTTCTTCTTCTTCTGGTAAACGCGAAGGCTTTTGTTGGTTAGGTCATCCTCCCTTTTTCACTCGGCGGTGACTAGGACTGGTCCTAAAACCTCCTCCTCCCCCCTGTCCCCCTCCTCCTGCTGTCGTAGCTGTCGTCGTCGTTGTTGCGCGGGGCGTGCCGCAGAAAACAATGATTAGTTACCTCCTAACGGTGGGACCCCAGTCCTTCAATAAGGCCGCCGAAAAATAATTAGTTACCTCCTATGGGTGGGGGGGTGTCTAAAGACCCTTCGCGGTTAGATGGGCTGGGATTCAATTTTTGGGAGATTGAATTTTGTATCGACGCTGGCATTTTCGCGGTCGATGCCTGGCGTGATATTGGGTGAATCTGGCTTCATCCCGCTTAATCTGGCTTAGCCCGGCTTGATATTGGGCTTAATCAGGCCTCATACGGTGAAGTGGCCTTCTACTCGGGCTTATTCGCCCTAATCGTTCCATCGCCGACCTCCCAGGAGTTGTCTCCTAACATGATGGGGTCTGAGGATAGCGCCTCATCGCCGATGCATCGGCGATGCGCCTCGATGTGGGGTTCGATTTTCTCCAACCCGATGTCGTCGATGCATCGCCCACGTCGCCGATGCATCACCGATGCATCGGGGATGAATCGACGATGCAGCGCGATCCTGCAGCGAGATCCTCCGACACCATGACCCTATCTACTCCGATCCTATATGGGAGGCCTCTGAATGCGGGTGTTGCCAGGGGTGCCCGTGGCCCCGGACGTCCCCAGGGGTCCTTGATCTCAGGTGCTCGTGCTGGGGAACTCCCTTGGGCCCACCCAACGGACTTGTTCGGTTCGAGTTTGACTCAGGTTCGATTCCAGCTCGACTCAGGTTCGTCTTCGGCCCGACTCAAGTCGACGGACGTTCGACGCAGCATCGACGCATGAGGCTTAGCGAGTGAGTGGCTGGCTCCAGGAAGGTCCCCAGAACCTTGAGATCCGACGTTGCGCAACAAAAATGCCACACCGCGAATAATCACGACCAGAGCCCTCGACCCCATTTCCCCGCGCCAGTTCTCCAGCCGCATCGATCTGTGAGGGGGTCCCGGGGCCCGAAAGAGCTCCGGGCGACGGTGCCCGTGGAGAAGCAGAGATCGCAGCGCCTGGGTCTCAGGGAGCGAGCACCTCACCCAGCACGTCGTGAGTTCTCCGCGAGGTCGACCCCCAGAGGACCTCTGGGGGTCGACCTCGCGGAGAGGATCCAAGAACGACCTCGGCCTCGTTCTGACCTCGGCCTTATCCTGGGGAAGGGGTCCAGACCTCAGGTCTGGACTCCTTCCCCAGGACCAGGTCTTCATCCCGAGTGGTTCTTGTGGACGGTCCCGGAGCCCGGTGGGGGCCCCCGGAGGCCGAAGATAGTGGAAAGCTTCCCGTCGAGGTGCTGTTCGCAACTCCTTGGGGGTCTGGGCACTGTGCCTCCTCTGAGCCGGGCGAGGGGCGCCGGGTTCTGGTTGACCCAACAGGGGATCCAGCCGAAAGGGGGTGGTGCAGTAATGATTTCGTGCTATTAGATGTGTGGGTTTGCAATCGGTGCGGGGTGAGCAGTGCCTTCCGTTGCGCAGATGTATTCCTGGGTTCCCGCGTGCAGGGCATTCGTTGCCATGCAATGCAATACGAGTCCCTGGCGCAACGCTCCTTTGAGCTGGCGTCGCCGAAGCTCCTCCGACGTCGCCGGTGCATCGCCGAGGCGTCGGCGATGCATCGGCGACGCTGCGCGACCCTCCGACCCCGCCTACTCGGCCACCATCTGCCATCCCCAGAGATCCGATGTCGTGTTCTTTTCAATGTGGGGTCCCTGGAGGTCCTGACCCCTTCTCCGGGACCGGTGTCTCGTCCTCCGAAAGAGCCAGCAAACGTCCGGCTTGAGTTTGCTCAATACGTTGGATCTCTGGGTCTGGGAGGCCTCTATCTCGGCGGGGCGCGGGCCGCCCGATGCCCGGCTTCTCCCTCGCGCACGCGCCGGCGGAGGGCCCCAGCGGGCCGCCGCCGCCGCGGCCGGGCCTCGGCGGGCGCGCCGGCCCTGGCCACCTTCCGAGCGGGGCCGCGGCGGCCACGGGCCGCGCAGTGGTCGGCGCGGGGCCCAGCCTCGGCCAGGCTCGGAGGGGGCGGCTCGGGGGCAGGGATGGGGTCGGGAGGGTGCGAGGCTCGAGGTTCGAGGTCTCGAGCCAGTGGCGAAGCGTCCTGGCATGCGTATCATAGGCCCACGAAGGAGTGTTCTGAAGAACCCTTCAGTGGTGTGCACGAGCTGTTCTTAGGACAGTTCGGGCTGAGGCTGTCGTGTCTTAACACAATTGCTTTACGTTCCGAGGACCATTGCTTTTGTTCTTAGAAAATGTGTTTGATCATTGCGCGGTAGTCCTGTAGGATTGCCAGGACGGTCGGCCCCTGCTAAAAGGTCTCCAGGCGTTACCGCTGGCTCTCGGCGGTGTCCCTGCCTCGGGGTGCCTTTCAGCAGCTGCGCCCCGCCGCGGGCGTTCCAGGGGTTGCCAGGATCGTCCCGAACGGCCGCTGGAGGCTATAGGTATGACCTGGAAACCACAAGGGGACAGGCGTAAGGTGATGGGCGTGTTTTCCACCACCACCATAAGTTAGAGGGGGAGGGGGTCCTCCTCCTCCTCCTCCTCCTCCTCTTCTTCCTCCTCCTCCTCCTCTTCGTCCTCCTCCTCCCCCTCCCCTTCGTCCGACGCCGCCGATACCGACGCCGACGCCGCCGACGCCAACGCCGACGCCCACGGACGACGACGACGACCACGACGACGACGACGACGAACCACCCCAGGGGATGATGAACGATCCCATTCGCGTGACCTTTGCGAGGCTGGCTCACGGGCGCACCCATGCAGCCCGGGGCGCGGGGCTCGATCCCATCTGCACTGAGAGGAGGAGTCTTTGGGTCATGTATCTCCACCCAGGTGGGTCAGTCGGCCAGTGGGGCCAAGGCCACGCCAGTGGGGGCAGAGATCGGTCCAAACGTGCTTACTTTGAAGCCTGGCCTGTCCCTCTACAGGAGGAGCTCTCAAAAATTGTGAAACAATAGTTTCGGGGACGATTGTTTGAGCATGTTTCGTTGCCATGTTAGGGTATTGTTGGACTATTCTTTATTTTGCTTGTCGGGGGTGGACAGAACCCCCAACAGTGACACGTCGATTAGTGAACTGTCCGTTTTCGGCTCTCGAGAGGGCGCCGCGGCCGTTATTTTCCAGGCTTGCGCCCGCCAGGTTTGGGCCTCAGGTCGTTTTCACCAAACCACGTTTTACTAAAGGGGGGTCTGTCCATCCCCGAGCGTACAAAATCCCCCTGCAAGAGGACAGGCCCGACCGAAGCTTGTTTTGTTCCCTGCAGCTGCCGCGCGGCGCCGGCGGCGGCGGGCTCTCGGCGGGCCCAGAGCGCGCCCGGGCGGCGCACGCCCGCGCGGGCGAGCCGGAGGCGGGCAAGGGCGACCTCCTGTCCAGGCTCCGCCCGGCGCCCCGGCAGCACGGCCTCGCGCCGCGCAGCCATCCAGCATCAGTCGATCGCAGACATGGATCAAGGGGGCGTGGATGTCGGTGGATGCGCGGCGCGAGGGCCTCCTTCTCCTCCTCCTCCTCCTCCTCCTCCTCCTCCTCCTGGCCCTCCTCCTCCTCCCCCTCCTCCTCCTCGCCCTCCTCCTCGTTGTCCGCTTTTTGGGCCTCCTGGGGGGCCCTCGTCGCCACCGCTGGATTCGCCTCGAAATCCTGGTCAGAGCGCACCCCAGGAGAGGTCCGGGGAGTAGCGGCATCGGTACCTCTTGGTTTCCCCAGGATGAGCGACGGGTCCCGTTTCCATGGGAAATTGCGGACTTTCGCCGTCGAACGCGGCGGCACCGGCCGCACTTTGGGGAGTGTACCTCCCCCGATCCATGGATTTGGCGACCGCGCGCCAAATCGTGGATCCCGCCGCAAAATCATCAAGGTCGACGGTCTTGACCAAGGGAGGAAAAGCCACCCGGACCGGAAAAGTGGCGTTTACGAAACGGCCGTGGGAGTTTATTAAGCAGCCCTGCCCTGTTCGATTCTTTCTTTGGGCGATTTTACTGAACGACTTCGCATGTCGGGGTGGTTATTATGGGGTTGCATGCTTTGACCTCTAATCGAGGAGACAAGTGAACAGAAACATCAACTGCTGGAGCGTATTGTTCTTGATTCGGCGCAGGCCCCCGAAAGGGTATTTGTAGATAGTGTGTCCCTCCATGAAAGAAATCATCGAGGTCGACGATCGGAGGTTCGAGCAGCGAGCTTGGACGCTTTTCGTCCTTTTGGGTCTCCAGGGGGATCCTCATCACCACGGCTGGATCTGGCTTTAGATTTTGACCAGAAGGCTTCCCAGAACAGGTCCAGGAATTTGTCGAGGGATTGCTTTTCGACGCCCAGGATCTAACATCTTCGCGTCGGGAAGAAATCGCGCCGGCGGGAACGGAAAAGAACCTCTTGGGAGCCACGTTTTCCAGGCTCGTGGGCCCGAGTTCTGGCGATGTGATTTCCCGCCCCTGTGTGTTTCTTTGATTTCGTCAGATCTGTGGCCCGTTAGCAGGCCCTGGGGCCATCAAAAGTGGGTTCGGTACAAAACGTTTCTCCCGGGGAAGCGGTCGGGACTCCCTAGGGGCCGCGGGCTGACATTGTCAGACTGGCAAATTGGCAGAGGGTGTCGCGCACGTCGAAGTATCGAGGTCCGAGGCGCAAGGCTCGATGTTAACTGTTGCTGGTAGTGTAGGATAGCGGCTAATGCCCAGGGGCACCCGTCACGCATCAGCGCCCTGGGCTATGATTGATACATTGGGATCCAGGCCTCCTCGCGGGCGGCGTCATCGAGACTATTGGATCGTCCTCTTCAGAATTCCCCACCCGCGGCAGAATACTGTTTTCTCAGCCGTTCCCTCCGTGTTTATCCAATCGCCATTCTACGTCCTACATTCTGCAGTCTTCGTGCGTGCGTGCGTGCGTGCGCGTGTGTGTGTGTGTGTGTGTGTGCCTTGCCTCCTCCTCTCCTCCTCGTGCATCGCGGCTTAATTCGCGTTTGTATGCCCTACCCATGCCTATCCGCCAGCGCAGTCCCTGTGCCTAGCCGCCGAGGCAAAAAGTGTGTGTGTGTGTGTGTGTGTGCGTGTGTGTGGTTTGAGGGGGGGCTCTTGGAAGCATCTCGTAGCCCCCGCTGGATTCCTTTCGCCATGTTGGCCAGAGCGCATCCCCAGATGGGGGTCTGCGGGGCCGACGTTTGAGCGGATGGGGTCGCGGGATAGGGTTCAGTCGGGCATGCCCTCTGCAGGAGGAATGTCCAAAAATAGTGTAAAAGATAATTTGGGCACGATTTCTCGTGTTTTGTTTTCTGACTTGTTTGTATATTCTGTTGTTTTTGCAATCCAAGCTGCCTTGAAACATCTGCCTGCAGGAGGCCATGCCGGGCCTCCCGCCCAGGCTCGCGATTGCGCAGGCGGCGGGCCCCTCCGCGGCGCTGAGGGACCGCGGTGGTGGCCGCGGGGGAAAGCGGGGGGGAGGGCCCGTCGGGGCACCGGGGCGGGGAGGGCAACGATGGGGCTGATATCGGCGGCGAGCGAGGGGGGGAAGTCAGAAGGAGGGAGCCCTCGCGCCTTCTGAGAAGTTTTGTTGTGTCTTCGGGGAAGCTTAGAAAACCTCTCAGAAGGTCCGGGGACTTCCGAGCCTTCTGAGAAGGCTCGCCACTTCTCACTTCCCCCCCTCGCTCGCCGCCTAGGATAGGCACAGGGGTAGATGCATCGACCCCTAAGCGCCCATTGATCGCCGATAAGGGCCCGATAGACCCACCCTGCCCAGGAAGGTGCGGATTCACTATCGGGGGCCTATCGCCGATCTATCGGCGATGTATGGCCGATTCCAGGTCGATGCATCCCCCCGTATGCCAGTCCCCCCCGATCGTTGCCCCTCACCAGAGAGCCAACGTATTGAACAAAGCAGGACGAAGGTTTCTCGCAGTTTTCGGCCTCTGCAGTGGAGGCCCATGCCAAGAAGCGGCCTGCTCGCCTCCAGGGTGCCCTGGGTTTCCTGGGTTTCGATGGTTTTGCGATGGAAGCCGTGAAGTCCCCACACAAAAGCAAGGGACGTCCGGGGGACTCAGGGCTGGGTTTCTTGTGGAAGGTTCTTCGTGGTCGGGCCCCTACTGGAGGGACCCTCGCCGGGCCCCAGGACCGTCCAACAGCGACTCTGGATGAAAAGCGGGCCCCGGGGAGCGGTTCGAGACGTCCGGGGACCACGCATTGAACAAATCACGACACGAAGGAAGCGGGACCTTGGTGAAAGGGGTCCTGGGTTTTCTCGTATTTTCCGTGGCCCCGGCGTGGTCTGGGACGCGGGGGCCGCGAAAGGAACGACTCGGGGCGAGAGGTTGGACCTGGGGGAAGGCCCCAGGGTCCAGGACCCGTTTCGACAGGACGCGTTTACCTCATG